AGACCCTGGGGTTCTCTAACAGGAAGAACACTGGAAACTTACAATGTCCCAAGCTGCCACTGGGAGCAGAAAACAGGACCCTATGACTTTTTTTGTTGTTCAGAGATCCAAACATTTCACCACACATTATTAAAAAAAAAAAAAAACAAAAAGGTTGGGTAGGAGAGAGCCCGTGAGAGCCATGAAAGCAAGGTTCTCTTCTTTTTTTTTTAAATGAAATCCCCCTTAGTTAAAACAACTTTGCCTGTGTCCCCAATGTACTTATTTATATACTAATTCAAAATGGTTATCACTGTAAATTATGTCATATGAACAATTTAGCAAATGATCAAAAGGTTCACATTTTTATTTTTTTGAGACAAAGTCTCACTTTGTCACCCTTGGTAGAGTGCCATGGCGTCATAGCTCACAGCCACCTTAAACTCAAGCAATCCTGCTTCTATCTTGGTGGTGAGTTGGAAGCGGGATCTGTGTCCCTAGCACGACATAGGCCTGGCTTCTGCCTAGGTTTTGTCCCAGTTCTTCGCGCAGGCGGTTGCAGCACTAGGTGTGGTGGGGCCCACGTGGGTTTCCCCGGGATTTTTGGTTCTGCAGAGTGACCCGCACTCGCCAGGCCGAGGGGCACGAGTGACCATGGTTCCCATGGGCCAGCAGCCGCGTTAGCTCACCCACAGTATAGAATTTAAACCTTCTCTCTGAAGTGTATGGTAAAACTAAAGACAATGATGAACAACTAAAGGTAGTCTAGAATTGTGACTGGCTCACTAACACCACCAGGAGAAAGTTAAGAGATCGCAAGTCAAGCATACGTTTTCCTAGGACTGCTATGAAGATGTCTGATATTAAGGCTTGGGCTGAGTATGTCATGGAATGGGCTGCAAAGGACCCATATGGCTTCCTTACAACAGTTATTGTGGTCCTTATTCCACTGTTCCTAGCAAGTGCTGTACTGTCTTGGAAGTTGGCCAAGATGATTGAGGCCAGGGAGAAGGAGCAAAAGAAAAAACAAAAACATCAAGAAAATATTGCAAAAGCTAAATGACTAAAGAAGGATTGAAGGAATGAACAAGCTCCATGACCAGAGGGAAAATCATTTGGAAAACTACGCAGCTTTGGGAGGACCCACTAAGGTTTCTTTTTTGGATCTCTTGACAATATTGTTTAGCAAAGGAAATTCGACCAAATGGAAGAATCACGCTCATTCTAACCTCAATACTGTAGTAACTTTTAGGCTTGGGTGTAGAAGTATGTTGGTATCTATTGACAGTTTCTGTAAATTAGCTTTTACTATGGTACAAATTCTTACAACTGACTTAATCATTTGCCATTTTACTAGTTTACATACTGAAAAGAAAACATCCTGTGGAGAAAAATGATTTTAGATTATGAACTCTTCAAATTAGCTATTTAAAATGGGGCCTTTTTCTAGACAAAGGAAATCAAGAATGAACATGACCCAGAGGAAGTCAGAATTGAACTTTCTGAGGTGAAAAGTGTGCACTGTCTTAAGAGAGAGACACAGTAACTTAATCACATCTTTTCTCATTGCTTATTTCTTAGAATAATTTCTGGCTTAAAGCAAAATAATCGATGACTTTCTATTTTCTGCATTTTTCTGACATTATTTTTCGAGATAAAGGTAATTAACAAGACATGCTGCATCTTTTAAACCTAGTTTTGTCAAGAATTGTCTAAACCATGTAGAATACCACCTACTGGATATAACAATTTTTGTACTTTGGGAACACTGCCATTTTCTTATGGACAACTTGAGAAGAGTAATACTGTGATTTATAGCTTTCAATAAAAATGCCAAACACTGTCTTATCTTGGGACCAGTACCTTGAAAGTAGAACTGTGTCATAGTTAAAATGTCTTAACACATACTTTTCTGATTATAGAGACACCATTTTTGTTTTTTATTCCATTCTTTATTTTGATTTATATGGGAGGGGTGTCCAGTACTTTTTGGTCAAACAGGTTCAAAGCAAAAACTAAAATTTCACAATTTTTTTTTTAAAGCTCTTTTAACAGTCCAAGGTATACTTTGTAACTATTAAAGAAAGACTTAAAATTTGGAAAACATTTTGTTCGCATAGTAGTAATTCGGTGAAAAGGATACATTATGTCAAAGTGAGAATGTTCAATAATTAGAAATAAAAAGCTCAAGTATGTTTCTGTCTGTTAAATTGTATAACTGAACCTTTTCTCTACTAAACATGGCTTTTATAAATGCCTGGTCCAGCAATTGTATTCACTGACTCACTGTCTACCCAATGTACTTATTTATATACTAATTCAAAATGGTTATCACTGTAAATTATGTCATATGAACAATTTAGCAAATGATCAAAAGGTTCACATTTTTATTTTTTTGAGACAAAGTCTCACTTTGTCACCCTTGGTAGAGTGCCATGGCGTCATAGCTCACAGCCACCTTAAACTCAAGCAATCCTGTTGCCTCAGCCTCTAGAGTTGCTGGGACTCCTGGCTATCACAATACCCGGGTATTTTTTAGAGATGGAGTCTTGCTCTGGCTCAGGCTGGTCTCAGACTCCTGAGCTCACGCAGTCCACTCGCCTCAGCCTCCCAGACTGTTAGGATTACAGGCACGAAGCCATCTCACCCACACTACATATTAACATTTTTAAAGATAGTTTTTTTTTCTTTTTTACATTTAGTTACATTAACAACCTGTTAGTGGTACTACTGTGTAAGTTATTTCAAATTCTGCCAGAATTAAGTTGGAATTTTGATTATAATCTCCATCTATAGGTAGATTTAGATAGAATTAACATCTTTCTAAAATTGTGGATTATAATCCAACACACGGTTTATTTGTTAATATTTAGAGAAGTGATTTTTTCCCCCTCTCACTTCAGTGGCATGTAATTTATCTATTTCTATTCTTATGATATTTACTCAGAAAAAGTATAATCATCTAATTAAACCCAAAGTATAATCAATGTATTCTCACCCACTCAAATGAAAAATTGTGGCACTTTAACTGAGATGCCCCTCTTCCTGTATGTCCTGTTTGGTCTATTTTATTTGTATTTTGTTTTTCTTTCAACCTCACTCATTAGGGATTTTTACTATTGTTTTGTCCAGATCAGTGAGTTGTATTCTTCTGACTTATCCACACCTTTATCAATTTCTTTTCTCATTTATTATTCCATCTCAGATCCTATGTAGGTTTATGTTACAAGTTTCTCTTTTGCCTATAAATGTCTTTCGGAAAGAATCTGTTGTTCCTAAGCTCTTCCAGGGCAGTGTGCTAAACTGTGCTTGTTCTATTTATGTCCCGGCTGGCCTCCTTGTTTCTGATAAGATTTGGTTTTCTTGGTAAACCTGGGAGTTTGGTTCTTAGCGTTCCTGTGTATGTACATGCACTCAGGTGGGCGTGGATTTTCTTCTTGCCAGGTAGTTAAGGTCTTGCATTTTTAGAATGTACCTTTCTTAAATGATCAATAGAGATGAGTTGGTTGATTAAATAAATACATAATTTGCATTAAATATGTGTCTACCCACACTGTGCTACCATTTTACTTTTGACAAATTTTATTATTTTTCTTTTTGAGACAGTCTCGAGCTGTTGCCCTGGGTAGAGTTTTGTGGCGTCATAGCTCACAGCAACCTCATACTTTTGGGTTTAAGCGATTCTCTTGCCTCAGCCTCCTAAGTAGCTGGGATATAGGCGTTTGCCACAATGTCCAGTTATTTTTTGGTTGTAGATGTCATTGTTGTGTGGCAGGGCCAGGCTGGCTTTGAACCCGCCAGCTCCGGTGTACATGGCTGGTGCCCTAGCTGCTCAAGCTACATGAGCTGAACTGACAAAGTTTATTTCTTGAAAACATTATGCTTATGACATAACTAAAAAATGTACATAGGTAATATCTGAAGTGGTTTGATAACCTGCCACAGCATGTATGAACGTATTCTTATCCAATGTGAATTTCAGTATTTTTCTTTCTGAGACAGTCTCATTAGGTTGCCCTTGGTAGAGTGCTATGGCGTCACAGCTCACAGTAACCTCCAACTCTTAGGCTTAATTGATTCTCTTGCCTTAGCCTCCCAAGTAGCTGGGACTACTGCTTATGCTTGAGGTATTTTAACTAAATCTACATTTTTTTTGCTGTTACTTAGTAGCAGTGTTATTCCAAAGAGCAAGACACTGAGGCACATGTGACACTTGCTCAGCCAGTAGTGTTACCACCTGGGCAGGTGTCCCGAAGGTGAGAGCATTCACCTGGTGTTCCTCTCTCGCTACAAGAATCTCACAATTTTATTTTGGAGCTCCTCCTGTTGATATATCTTGACATACTAATATGAGGAGTCCTTTTATAACTGTGTAAGAACAACAAAGACCAACAAAATGACTTGACTGTTAAAGCAAACATTTTATAGGTAACTAAAGCCTGGACACTCACATGAAATACAAAATATTTTTGATGTTAATAACCAATTTCTTCACCAGGGAGTTGGTGACACCCTTTGGCTAATAGATCTCAGAGAAAGATATTTTTTTCTGATGGAGCTCAGATTCATTTTTATATCAGCCTCATTCGTTTTGGCTTCTGCTCCAATTTGGAGTGTGGATGCTTAACATTACCAGTAGATATTTCTTAGTTCTCTGCCACATTTGATTAAATCAAATGTTAAGGCAGGAGTGTCCTTTATTTCCATTTCTAAGTAGGTACTTTGCAGAATAATAGCTCTGTGTTTCTCCTGGATTTCTGGATGGCTCACCTTTTCTGGTCTGGGTGGTGTTGGTTTCTCTTTGCATGGAGCCCTCAGACCTGCCTAGGAACCCCCTTCCCCAGTCACTGCACCTCTTTGGCTCACCTGACTAATTTTATTTTCTTTGATCATATCATTGTTCTCACCATGTTGTTGATGGTAAAAATTTGTTCCCATTGAACATATTAAATAGAAGATACATATTTTGGAGGCAATGTCCCTAAGGGTGATGTTGAAGAATGTTTGTATACTGTCTCCTCTGTTACAGTAAGCCTGGTATCTCCTCCAGCTGACCAATTTGAAGAAGTAAACATTCGCATGTATGTTTAAAAAGTATAAAAATTTTGTTTTAATATTCATCCTTTTAGAATAATTGTACCAACATTCAGATCTAAAGAAGTATGATTTGGAGTTTGTGACAAAGTAAGGACTTGAGTAGAACAAGACCAAACTGGGAGTAAAGAGCAGTTTTAATTATTTAAGAACGCATGAATTATGATCATAAAGAAGGCCATGTGTACCCCTGAGGTTGTCGTCAGAATCTAACATCCTTTCTTACAGGCTCTTCTGTTTTCTCTGCCTTTTGTCTTTTCCTCTTTTTTTTATACATACACCACCCCCACCTACCCACCCAGAGGCACTGTGCATCCTCCTGGAGCAGGTGTGATGTCCCCTACAGAATTTAGAAAGACAGGATTGTGTTTGAGGACGTGCACAGCTGCAACCTGTTATTAAGTGAAGACTAAAAACTAGTGAGGGTGGAAATCATCTGACAAATTGTGCATCATTAATTCTTGATGCCAATTCGAGGTAGGAGAACAAAAATCTTTACCTCCTACCAAGTGCACTGTAAAAATTCTTAAATTTATTTTGATAGATCTGTGTTGCAGCAAGTCACAAAGGACCCCAAACTCTTAAAAATTAAAAACATCACTGAGGATAGACTTAATGATAGCAGGAAGCCTTCTTAGTTTTCTTTTACATTTTGCCCCGGTACATAAATTTGCTGGCAAGAGATTTGGTTCTCCATTATTCTAAAAAGGAAGCAGAAAGGATAAAATAGTTGGCAAAACTAAAAAGGCCTTATGAACTTACTTTTGATGACTTCTAGAAAGCCTTCACTGATATGAAAAGATTCTGCTCAGTGCCAGGTGTGTAGGTTTTCTGGGACTATTCTGCAGCCGAGTGTTTAGTGGGAGAGGTGCCACATGAAAACATAACTCCCTTGAGATAAAATGATATGCCACCCTTTGAGTTGCAAAGGCGTAGGAATATTTGGTGTGTGTAGATAGAAATTTCTGTTTGTTTTTAAGAGGTGATTTCTGAGGCTGGTGTTATATGACCCTAAGTGGTTGGTAGTAAGGTAAAAC